AAAAGAGCTCAGCAAAGTCAAAGAGGAAAAGTCATGGGAGCTTGTTCATTCTGCTCATGATGTTCACGTGGACCCTTTTTCTTCGAACAACCGAATTTAGCAGGGAGAGGCGACATTCAGCTCTACTAGCTACAGGGCCTGTATGGGTGAGAGAAAGGAAACAAAAGTTCCAACGTAGTTTGGGGGCAAACAGCTGGGGGCACGCGACTGAGGTCCAACATAGACTTTAGCCGTCTGCGCTCTGCCATGCGTAAGGCTTTGTGAGCGAAAAGGATATAGGGGCCCTGTCGCATGGCTCCTCCGAACTACATTAGCGCCGAAACAAAGTTTTCAAAATTCCTCACCATTGATGAGCTGTTTTGCGTCAACAGACACGGCTCTCCAGGCATCACCTTCGAACGAAAATTCTGCCTTCCTTATCCGCTGCATAATCTCCGTTGCCGATTCGGTTTTTGATCGAGCATGAAACGGTACTTGTCCGGACAGCATCGTGAACTGAAAATGGGTAAATTTATCAATGCAGACCAAATGACCGCGAAAATTACGGGAGGAAAAAACGGAATGAGGAAGTTTTCCAAACTCTAGGAACTCTGGGAAAAAAACAATGGAAAAAGTACTAACCAGGGCAGTTCGGCGACGGGGTAGGGAGGGGGGGCATTTTGCGCTTTTGCTACTTCCCATCGACGTGTCGACCCATCTAGAGAGCTATTTCATGAGCTTACAAGAGTTGACAGGTTTTATCATGTTGGCTCGAAGAGTTTGCTCCTGCTTCACAAGAGTGCACAAATGGCATCAGAGACTTGTAAGCTGGAACTAGTGAGCCAGCGAAAGTACAAAATGCCCCCCCCCCTCCCGTCGCCGAAAATTACTTCCGTCACTTTAAAAGAAATTATGGATCATCAACAAGAACAAGGGACAAAGTATGAAGAAATGTGAAGGACAAAGACTAACCAAAATAACACCAAGAGACCATAAGTCACACTGTTCATTGTATTCCGGTAGCGTATCACCCAGGTCTAGCACTTCTGGAGCGGCATACTGTAAGGTGAAGCAAGGTGTCCTGAAACCTTTACCTCATAAAACTATTTTTTAAACTTTAAAGACACACTGAATGATAAGAACGTAACCTAATTCTAGTCTGATAGAAGAATAGCAATACTGAACAAAATGCAACCAACCATAGTTTCGGAACGATTAGTGGAACACAATATCATTCAGGATTCTAGCCTGCTCCACAAATTCCCGTGACTTTCCATATAACCATTTTACCGACCTCTTTTCTATTTCAATGTTATGATACAGCCGAAATTCCAGAAAAATCCGGTAAAATAAACGTAGCGAAAAATCACGCAAAATTTTGGAACAGCCTAGGCCTAATTGCAAAATGAGCAAAAACTGAATAGGGCTGCTGGTAGCACTATTCTACTGTTACGACCCCAGAATGGCAGTTTTTAGTGATACTTCGTCTATAGGGACATTCGGTGCCCTAATCGCGAGTATAAAAGTGAATTCTGGCGCAGCCTCCATCTGGCCACTTTTTCCACCAAATTCGTTATAAGCATACATGTGGAGGTCAGGACACATCCTCCCTTAAGAGGAATTTTCGTAGATACTCCCCTCTCCTCTCAAAATTTATAACCTATGGTTTGACCCCCTTCCCCAACCTACCTACCACCTTTCCCTGAATTTTCTCAACTTCCTATTCACTCTTCCAGTTTTTTTTTCAAAATCTCCAGTTTCTCCCCAAAAAATGCTGCTGAT